GCCTTTACTAGGAAATTTTACTAGGAAAATTTTTCCTCGTAAAATTACTAGGCCCTTACTTCGGTTTTACGAGGAAACCAAATTTCCTCGTAAGATCCTCGTAAACTTACGAGGAACCGATTTCCTCGTAAGATCCTCGTAAACTTACGAGGAGCTTACTAGGAAAGAGTAAATTTCCTCGTAAACCCGTAGTACCACCTTTCCACATAAAAGCATAGTACGTCTTTACTACGAAATTAGGAGGATAGGGTTTTGTTACTACGAAATTAGGAGGAACTGGATAGAAAATATCGAATTTAAATCAAAAACGTGTTTTGTACCTACTTTTCCTAGCAATTTCCTAGTAAATGCTCAGATTCGAAAATTTCTATAAATACCACCTTCTGTGATTCATTTGAAACACACCAAAAAAAAAATCAGCTATAAGCTTGATCAAACACAAAAAATGTCCGGTCCGGGAAATATTTTCGAGTTGCGGCAGTGGATGTATTCACACAGAGATAATAACGGGAGGGTGACGAAAGAATTTCTGGAAGGGTTGGAGACGTTTATGCATCAAGCAGATTTTACACCACTCACGCATGAAAGTGGTAAGATGTTCTGTATTGGTATATAATCTTCGGTTGTCGTCAGAGATGATAGACGTTGCATCGACAACTGCATGATTTACTGGGGAGATGATGAGAAGTTAGAAGAATGTCGATTTTGTAAGAAGCCACGATTCAAAAAGGTCGAGGGCGCAATAGGGTACCGTACCAAAGGATGTGGTACGTACCAATCATAGAAAGATTGAAAAGATTGTACCAATCTGAGGAGACTGCTGGAGGGATGAGATGGCACGCCGAGCATACTCAAACGGATGGAGAGATGACTCACCCATTAGATGCAAGAGCCTGGAAACATTTTAACAATGTACATGCACATTTCGCTAGCAATAGCTGGATTGTGTATCTTGGATTATGCACTGATGGATTTAGTCCATTTGGAATGTCTGGGAGACAATATTCATTGTGGCCGGTCTTTCTTACACCGTATAACCTGCCACCGGAGATGTGCATGCGACGAGAGTTTCTATTCATGAGCATATTAATACCTGGTCCAAAACATCCAAAAAGATCTCTCGACGTTTTTCTATAACCACTAATAAAAGAGTTGAAAGATTTGTGGTTAACAGGGGTGAGGACATATGATTGTTCAACGAAAACAAACTTTACGATGCGAGCGATGCTTTTGTGGACCATAAGTGACTTTCCTGCATATGGTATGTTGTCTGGGTGGACTACACATGGGAGATTAGCTTGTCCATATTGTAATGGAATGACAGATGCAGAAATTGATGATATCCTACTCATTGATGTCAAGTTTGCTTCATTCCATACCCTCGGATTACTACAACAAGAATAAACTGGTTAGCTCTTATCAAAGTGACACCTCGAGGACGGATAATCGAGGGAGAAGAACCACCAGTACAAAAAGAAAACACCAATGAAATCGAGGAACCTGAAGCAGAAATTGATGACATCCTACTCATTGATCCGCATAATCGTGAATACGAAGATGTCCTTGATCACTCAACGAACGACGGTGTTGAGGACGAGTTTGGAGAAAATGATGATGTTTCTACGGATTATGAGAATGTATCCGAATGAATTATGTATGTTTTATAAATTTGTTTAATCACAAAAACCAATTTCAATTATGTATGTTTTATAAGTTTGCTTAATAACAAAAAAAATGAGTTAAGGAAGTTGTGGTTTGGGATTTAGGTGTAGAAGAGGTTAGGAATTAAGGAAGTTGTGGTTTGGGGTTTGGGGTTTCGAGTTCAGGGTTTTACAAACCCTTTCCTCGTAAAGCCCTAGTAAGAGAAAACGCGGGCATAGCTATCTCCTCGTAAGGTCCTAGTAACAACATTACTAGGACTTTACGAGGAAAAAAACGCGGGATTAGCTACTTCCTCGTAAAGATGTTTCCTCGTAAAGTCCTAGTAATGATATTACTAGGATTTTATGAGGAAATAAAAACACGGGCATAGCTGTTTCCTTGTAAAGCCCTAGTAACATTACTAGGGCCTTACGAGGGAACAAAATTTCTTATATATACACGAGCAATCCGATTTTTCACTCATAGTAACCTCCTCTCCAAATTCTCTTAAGGTACTCTCTATTTCCTAGTTAGGTGATTAGATTAGGGAATTTAGATTAGGTGGTTAGATTAGGGAATTTATATTAGGTGGTTAGTTTAGGAAATTTAGATTAGGTGGTTAGTTTAGGGAATTTAGATTAGGTTGGTTTAACTGTTTTTAAAAATTATATGAGAATTAATGTTTTGTGATTTTTTTTAGAAAAATTTAGATTGTTAGAAAGAGCAAAGTTGCTGCATCTGAGGCCAGGAGGCCTCTTGATCAGGGGATTCACTATGGAGATCTATTCGGGCCCGGTTCATCTTCGTCAGCTCCCGATGGTTCATCACTATGGAGATCTATTCGGGCCCGGTTCATCTTCGTCAGCTCCCGGTGGTTCATCTTCGGGAGTTCCCGAGACTCAGGGAGGTTCTACGGCATCCCGGTCTCCTCCTCCTCCTCCTCCTCCTCCTCCTCCTCCTCCTCCTCCTCCTCACGCACCATTTGCGGTGTACACGGTGAAGGATATTTTGGCCCTTCCAGGAAGACAAGGGCTGCCAGAGTTAGATCCTATCCGACGGGACAGCCAAAACGTATTATGGTATGTTTTAATTTTTAAAAAGTTTTATTAATTTATTTCTTAATTACCAAATATTTACAAATTAATTAATCTAATTAATGATTTATTTTCTGTCTTTCCAGGTTTGGTCTTGACAATTGTGTCGGATCTAGCGTCACGGACTGTATCAAGGGATACTTTCCCGATGCAGCTCCAAGCTGGAAGATGACGGCGAGCCACACAAAAAGACGTGGTTCAAATCGTTCACTATAAGTTTAGTAAATCAACTTAATTTATTTTTAATCATTTAAAATTATGAATATTACTGAACTAATCCGTCTCTTATTTTTTCTTTACATCAAAAATATCGTTGGTCTATTGGGATTCACCAGCGGGTGAAGTAAGAGTTCGAGGCCAAGGCAAAAGAACGATTGTGCGACATGGTCTACAACTGGAAGGGAGACTTTCAGGTATAGATTTATAAATTATAATATATGTATAGTTTTAAAAATATATATTATTGACTTTAATTCAAATTATTTTAAATCAGGTGGATGGTTACGAGCGCGGGAAACCCGATTGCCTCACAACCACGGTGTGGGATGGCCTCATCAGCTATTGGGCGTTGCCGGACTCGATCAGAACCTCCCAGACAAACTCCGCGAACCGCATGACCATAGACGAGTATGGCAACACGAAGATGCTTCACACCACGAGCCGAAAACCTCACGGGGGAGTTCTTCTAGACATGGTAAGATGATTTTTTATAACTATTTAATTTTTACTTTAGTTGAATATTCTAAATTAATATTTAATTTAAAAAAAAATTTAGGCTAAAGAGACAGGAGTTCTTCCATCTCTGAAAGACCTTTACGAGCGGACCCACCGGAAAAAGGGTGGGCAGTATGTAGATCCTGCTTCCGAGCGGATCTACAACGAGGTTGCTGCCCGAGTTGACGAACGCCAGACCCAGCTGACTCAGCAGGCTGGGGCTCCAGTCGTATTATCCACTCTTGAAGTGGCTAAGATTTACGAGGAGGTAAATAATTTATTTTAATATTAATTTTTATTATTTATTTAAATTATTCCTTACGTTATTAATATTTTTATTTACAGGTCGTGCCTAGGAAAAAGGGCTGTATTTTTGGGATTTACTCGGTTAACGATGTCCCGCAGTGACATCGGCTTATGTTCACCAACAGGATGATGCCAATGCTCAGCTGCGGACGGAGTTGCAGGCGACGCAGTCTCATGTGAGTACGCTCACCGAGATCGTCGACATTATGGCGGTTGGAAACCCGCAAGTGGCGGAGATGTTGCGTCAGAGATGGGAAAGCGGAGCCCTTCCACCCCAATAGCTTCCACCATCTCAGTCACAGCCGGCATCCAACATTGGAGACGACGACTTGGTGCAGCAATTTCAGGAGCAACATCCCTTTTAGTTTTTTTAGTTTTTAATAGTATATTATGAATTTTAAAAATTATTAATTGTATATTATTTAGTTATTTATAAATATTTTGTTATTTATAATTTGGTTTTTTTAATTTTTTTAATATATATAATTTTTAATTTATAAATATTTTTTTTTTAAATAGGAAAAAATTATTTCGAAGCAAAATCCTCGTAAATGTTTCGAAGTAAAGTCCTCATAAATTTTCCTAGCAAGTTCCTCGTAAAGATCCTACCACGAGATTACGAGGAAACAATTTACTATGACATTACGAGGAAAACCTACGAGGATCTTACGAGGAAAACTTATCCACGCGTTTACGAGGAAATGTTTCCTCATAAATTAGCTAGGACATTACGAGGAAAATATGCTTTACGATGAACGTCTTTCGACGAAACGCGTTTCCTCGTTATTTCCTAGTAAAGGACCATTTACTAGGAAATAACGAGAAAAACCCGTCCTAGTAAATGACGTGTTTTCTTGTAGTGAGCAAAGAAATAGATTAATCTAACCTTAAACACCCTAGATCATCATCTAAAAACTCTAATCACCTAAATCCATGAATCCCAAAGCTATCTACTCTCTAATCTCCATGAAAGCCTTAAACCCATATGTGAATCAAGACTAATCATGTTAATGAGCAAGAGAAGAAGAAACTAAGATGAAGAACTTTCATTAATGATCAAAAGATTCAAGCTTTTACAATGAGAGGCAAAGTTCTAGAGAGAAACTGAGATACGATTCCCAAAAGGGATTACAAGAGTATTTATATGGTCTAGGAGAAACAAGGATTTCCAATGTAAAAAGACCAAAAGAACCTTGAAAAATAAGGAAACTTTCACGCTGGGAAACGTCAGCCCGGGTTGGTGGTCTAGGTTCCTCCCCGCGTAGCCTTACCCGCGCCAGCTTGACGTGCTTGGTCCCTCCTTGGACGAGCGGGTACTAGACCCCGCGCCAGCTTACCCGCGTTATTAGCCTTAGCTGTGGACCGACAGTTTCCATGTTCCTCAATAACAAAATCTCCAATAAGCTAACAAAGATTGAAAACAGGTAAGCTTTACATATTCACTTTCAACATCACATAATGCAATGATACCCAAATCACATCTTTGTACCTTAGTCTTGAGAGGTGAACAACAATCACGAAGATTAGCGAAAACAACATGAGTCTGATTAGCATTCTTCTCCTTGTAGATTATCTGCCTACCAAATCTAGCACCAACGCCCACAAACTCAGCATCTTCAGTACCATCAATCCACGTTTTAAATTTAATCTAAGGAAAGAAGAAAGTGAGATATCATAAAAACCACGTTTGAATTAGGAATAAGAAGAGTACCAAAACGAAGTCGATTTTGCAGCCAGGCTTCTTCACACGCAGAATATTTTGAGACACCAAAACTCTTAAAATTTGAGTTTTTGTTGGAGATACCCTTAATAAAAATTTGGATCATTGTTAAAGAAGCTGAGAGTTGATCAACGACTAAGACAGCCTCTTCAAGAGCTTTGAATAGATCCCCTTCTCCCATATCATATTCAGGTATGTGATGACTCATGAAAAGCGTTGTTCTGAAACAAAACAAAAAATCACGATCAGAATCAAAGACGATAAACAAAATAGAACATAGTTCAGATATTTGAGACAACAAAGTACATATCTTTAACCTTTTCGGGAGTGGATTCAATCATGGAAGGGTTCATATTTATCTTTCTTCTCACTGGTGGGAGACTTGCCAGTGGTGATAGGGAAGAGACCAAGCTTTTTTTTTAAGAAAAAAGGAGAAAGAGAGAAAAGTGAAACAAATTCATTAAAAAGTGAGTAAAGAACATTATTGATTATTGATAGCAAAAGAGGCTCGGTAACGGTAATGGAGATTGCATGAAGAGGAAATGGAGAAGACGAAGTTGACGAATATAGTCGATCGACGATTCTGTGGGTCATTAGTAGGGGTATCTAAAGTGGGCTTGAATTGTGTGCAACATAACCATATCAACCCAAATACAGAAGGCCTGCAAGATGACTTAAGCTCTGACGTGGCAATTTTAAATTTTCTGAATGGCTGATTTTCCAATCTGACGTGGACAATCTCAGAGGGATTTATATTTGTCTTTTATTATAGTTAGATATTTGGAGGCTTCTCTCTATTTTAAAATACTTTTTTCTTGTATATCTTGTGTCTTCAGTTTATATAAAGAAAAATAAAATAGGTAATGAAAATATATTTTAAGTTATTTATTTACTGATAATAATTAGTCTACTGATTTAAATTTAACTTAAATTGTGTATATATACTGATTAAATGGTTAATGAATATATAAATTTTGAGTTATTTATTGTAAACGATATAATACAAAAACCAATTTAAAATTTTGTTATTAATAAATAATTAAAATCAGTTATTTCAACCGATGAAAATAATAACATCATTTATAAATTGATATAAATTTTAGCGTCATTTCTATAATTGATATATATTGCAAACCTTAAACCCCAAAATTTAACCTCAAACCACATACCATATTTCAATCCCTATATACTACCAAATAAAATATTTCAAACCCTATACACTACAAATCCAAACACTCAGATTATATATCATACATAAATCTCTAACTTAAAAAAATTAATCATAAAACTAAAAAAAAAAATCACTACTACTTATAAAGTACCTATTTAACTGAATTTAGATTTATATATAATTATAGGGTTTAACCCCTAAACATGAACTCTAAAACTTCAATATTTCTATAACATAAATCCAATCCAAAACTTAAACTCAAAATTGAACCATTTTGAGGGTGGCCGATCGATTGATCGGGCGAAATTCGTCATGCGCCAAAGACCAGAGTTTTGAGGCTGGCTGATCGATTGCCGAGTAAAAAAAAAAAAGAAGATCGAAGGCGAAAAGATCGGATATGCAAAGACTAAGTCCGAAAAGTTTTACATGAAACATAAAGACAACAACAACAAACTGAGGTAAGACGGAGCTGAAGACCTGAACGTTTTTCCAAGAAGTGTTAAATGGTGTCATTTCGGAGAAGTATGGGATCAGACTGAAGATGAGTGCCCAAAGAACTAGTGAAGAATGATGTAATGAAGATAGAAGAAGCAGCCTGAGTGAAGGTTTGGTGTTGTGCTCATAGTACATACCAAGTTGATCCCAAGGAGGGGAGACATTCCGTGGAGATTATGAAAGAGAAAGTAGATTATGAAGCACGGAACTTGAACGCGCAAGTATTCAAGATGTGGAGTAAGCAGATGGTGGCAGCGTAAGCTAAGTGGTGATAGTACGATTCTGCACTAGCAAGAGTTGTTGCATTGGAGGAAGATCAAAAAGCTTGGTGAAGCAGAAGAGAGAGAAACGGAAAGGAAGAAGCCAAGGCCAAGGAAGGAGAGGCCGCCGAATGGAAAACATTTGTGAAGTGAGAATCAGAGCAAAGGAAGAAGAGCTGGAGTTCGAGCAACCGGTAGTAGAATCAAATGGTGTTAATAGTACCAAATGGTGGCAGAAGAAGGTTAGTACCAGACGGCGATGTCAAGTCAAGAGGAAGAACAAATAGTGAAGTCAAATGGTGGTATCCATAGTGAAAGGTAGAAGCAGAAGCTAGAAGCAGATGGCGGCATCAACAACAGAATATTGAAAATTATATCAAGGAAGCCGCGTGAAACAAGTAAACCGGAAGTACGCAAGAAAGAATCGAAGGAAGAAGAAGAGGAATACATGGTGGAAGACTAAGACCAGAAAAAGTTAGGAACAAGCTGAACAAAATTCAAAAGGTGGTATTAGAAGCTAGTAGTGCCTTGTGAATTCGGGGACGAATTCATTTAAGAAGGGGAGAATGTAATGACCCTGTTCTAGGGTAGAAAGTCAACCAAAGTCAACGAACGAGGATCGAGCCAACCAAGTGTTGTCAAGCTACATGAAGACTTGAATAGAGGTTTGGTCGAAGTATTTTGAAGAGTTGTCGAGTGGAAACGAGAGTTGGTCGAGGAGATAGAGCTGAAACTTCGAAACGGACAAGGTCGAGCAATGATGGAATTTCGAAGTGTGAAAATCAAGTGAGACTTGATTCCAATCATCTTTAGAGGATGAAAGAATACATTTGGTCAAGATATAATGGAGTTGGAACGAGCCAAAGATAAGATGGTCAATAAAGGTTTCAGAGATGGTCGAGGCTAAGGTTTAGCATTGGGTGAAGACCAAAGAAGACTATTTTGATCAGGAGCTTGGAGATCTATCTAGGATCAACCTAGAAGCCATACTGAGGTGTTTGAAGAAATTCAAGAGAGTTTGGTCAAGGTAGAAACAGGAGAGTACAAAGATGGACCGGAAGAAGGCAGTTTTGGCCGATATGGTCAAAATGAGCCATCCAAGAGCTATGGAAGCCAAATCAAGATGTGAAAACATGGTCAAGGAGTTCAAAGGAGTGTTTTGTGCAATTCCTACACTTTTGGAAGTGGTCAACCCTGAGGTCAAAGTCAACAAAAGTCCAAGGAGAGAGAAAGGACTCCATTGGTACACATAAGCTATCAGAGCGTCCAATGGGATTGTGCCACGTGGAGGGGACCAATTTTCATAATTTCTGGTGGACAAGGTTTAGCCATAGCTTTGCTATGTGTTAAGTGAAGAGGCCATTTGGAGGCTAAAACTTGGAGTGGAGGCCAAGTGACTTCGGGAGCAAGTGTAAAGCTGAAATTTTGTACACTGAACGTGACCAGGAAGGAAGTATTTCTTCTAGAAGATGGGATCTAAAGAAAATGATTCAATGCATTTTTGTTCATGCATGGTTTTGGAGCTTAAAATGAGGACAAGTGTACACCCATGTGTCTTGTGTTCACACTCATTCCACTGGCTATAGACCCTTAGGAAACATTTTTAAGAGTTTGGAAACCCCTGAGCTTTCTCTCTCAGTCGATCTTATGGTTTACTCTTGAGAGAGAAAGTTACCAAAAAAGGATAAAATTAGTGAGTGAGTGTGGTGAGTAAGGAGGCTCTTCCCGTGTGTTATCCTTAGTCTAGGAGGTGTTGTGTTAAGCTAGGAGAGGTGGTAAGACCTTTAATCCGTGGTTTAGAGGTTCCTTTTCCCTTTTTGCTTTTAGCCTATTTTTGATCGGTTTTGGTGTAACCCTTAGGTCCGTGTTGTAGGAGCTGATTTCCGGCTTTTGAAGACCTAGGTGGGTTCCTTGTGGTGTGTGTGTGAGTTTTGTGTGATTAACCGTGTGTGGTTGCAGGTTGAGAGCTTGGACCGTGATGGTCTTGAAGCTATACCGCTTTTGCGGTTTGTGTGTGGGTGTGGGGAATCGGTAAAGCCCATGCATGTGTGTTTTGATGTGTTTAATGCATTGTGAGTTAGGTTGCTAGATTGTAGCTATAACCGTGTGTTAGGATTGATAGTACATGCATGCTTTGTGTAGTTATCATCTAGAAATGGTAGTTTAGTGATATGCATTGTGTATTGCGTTTGTTTATGCATATCTAGATGATATTTTATATTATGTTGAACCGCAAGAGATCTGAGTAGGAACTCTCTCTCTCTTCGGGTGTGTTGTTGTTGTAGCATGCATTGTATTGTGTAGAGTGATAGTTTATGTGCATTGTAGAATTGTGTAGTTGCATATGTTTTGTTTGTAGTTAGTCGCATGAGGAGCGAGGGAGGTTTTCTCATTGCGTATCATATGCCTTTGTGTGTGGTGTAATACATGGCATGTACTCGTGTATAGTGACTGGACCGGGGAGGTCTAGTTTGGGGTTTGCATAGAGATTTGAGTGAGACTCTCTCTACTGCCGGGTAGAGTCTAGGTGTGTCGCTCACTTTGAGTGTTGTTAGGTGTGTTCCTAGTCTAAACCGTGTTGCATGGAGGTTGTGTTTCCCCATGCTAGTTGTTGTTTTGTTGTGTACACGGGTTTAGACTAGTAGGGTGCGAGTGACTGTGTGTGTAGTGCACCTAGAACTAGCGTTTGTGTGTGGTGTGCACTTACGCTAGTGACTGTGTGGTGTGACTCTAGTTTAGACTAAGTGTAGCATGTTTGTTAGAGGTAGAGGACCCTCAGGCGGGTTGTGTGGTTGTGACTTAGTCTAGACTAGTGGTAGAGTCGTTGTGATGTGACCCTGGGGTTAGATTGGGAGTGAACCATTTCTCCAGTGGTAGGGATGTACTTCTCTCCACAGCTGGTCAAGTGAAGTGTGTAGCGCTCATGGACGAGCGCTGTAGGACGCTGCGGCTTGGATTGCTTTGGAAGCGCCGATCCCCAAAGATGATGTTTCCGACCAAGTGACTTATGTGTTTGCGGTCTGGAGTGTTCAGGGTGGTGAGTTAGAGACCTCCAGTGTGTAGGGATCCCCAGATGTGTGAGCATCCGTAGTGAGTAGTGTTAGGCGCCTTAAGTCTAGAAGTGTGTCTAGGCTGTAGTTTAGTGGAGTCTAGGATTGAGTCTAGACGTCTTGGGTTTGTGTTGGTCTCGGCGAGAGACCTGGGGTTTAGATTCTTTGCTTGTTGCATCCCATTGCATTGCAGTGTGTTGTTTATTGTTGCACGTCTAATTTTTTTCCCCGTATTGATTGATTGTACATTTGCTTGTTTTTTTTTGTTTAAGCATGGGCTGAAGAGGGGGGGGGGTTGTTCTTGTTGTTGTTTTGTTGGGAACTTACTGAGTAATTGTGATTACTCACGCCGTCTTCTACTATGCAGGTACCTTTGG